GGCAGGCGGCCTTGCCTCTTCTCCGTAGAGAACAAAGCCAATAGTGCGCCAAGTTGGTAGTAACTGCGGCACAAGAGTAGACGTAAACAGAGAAAAAAAAATCTTTTCAAATATTGGTAAAAGTTCTGGTGTGCTCGCTATTAATCTTTCACGTGAAAGTGAGTCACCCCTTCCTCATCAAGTAGCGCTGCCAACATTTGATCACCGGCTATTTTCTTCTCGTGGTCACTCTCGGCCGTGGCGGCACGTCGACCCTCCAGAAGTCACGGTGTGCGTCCAGGAATGTATTAAGCCAGACTAGGACTAGTTTTTTTAGATCTGCCCGGGCTTGAGGTATCCGCTGCTTTTCAGAAACGCGTTGCTGCTTTATAGCAGCGGGCAGTTCAGCCACATTAATGATAGAGACGCTGCTTCTTCTACAACAGGGCTCTTCACGTTCGATTGGCCCAAAAGAGCGAAATAATCCTTCAGTAGGCTTAAGAAAACACAGGATGTATTTGCATTCGCTTTAGATGGTTAAAGTGTGAATTAATCTATTATTGGTTGTTACTGTGAACAGGTCGATAGAGCGTGGTCATATAGACTGCAGACACTGCATGCGTAAATAAGCCAGCCGCATTCAACAACATATTTTTCACCATATATGCTTGTGTGTATTTCGCCCGCGTGCAGTCCCTAGATCGATTAGCGCGTCGTAAGATTCTGAAGTAAAGATTGCATTACACGTCAATGACCCTTTCGTGTACGCAGTGTGACACCATCAACGCTGTTTCTGTGCAGAACACAAAGTAGGGCTTCATAGAAAAGAGTGAATCTTCCTACTTGGTGTCGGGTAAAGACATTAACTCTTTTCTATGAATCCCCGCTTTGTGCTCTGCACGAAAACAGTGTCAGAAAGACTAGCGGCTAGTGGCGAATTGTACAAGCTCATAGAAAGCTAAATGCACCCACTTTTTCAGCACAAGCGCCGATTAATAAACCCAATGTGTTATAGAATAGCACAGTCGACTCCAAATTGTTTGGTGCCCTTAATCGTTTTGATAAAAATTTTCAACTGCAAATGAGGGACAGCGATACTCATCTCACTTCTGTCAACACTTCTGTCAACGCTTCGAGCGAAAAGTCTTGGAAGTGGATTGATATGCCACCCAAACTGCCTGATACGCCAGCGACACCAGTCGTTAGTTTACGCAGCTGGTCAGGCCATGCCGAGGTTGCACAAATTATGTCAACGATATACTTGTCCATAGCTGTGTAGAGCATGGGGAATTGGATGTAAATTTAAAACGTACTAGTAGTGCTCGTGGGTATGCGCTTGAATAATCTATATGTCAATATAGAAAAGCACTCTTTTGGCACCGAGGAGATATTTCAGTTGATTCGTTTGAAAACATGAACCTCAGTTAAAATTTGACAACGTTAAAGTTCATTGTCGCTTGGACGGTACCGTTGTCCGTAGAAACTTGAGGACGTGTTTGGCCTAGCCAACTACTCACTCAAGTATAGTGCAATTTGGATCGACTCGCAATCGAATCGCTCAAAAAGATGCCAAATGGCTGGAATGTAGCAGGAGAGACGTTATCCAAGGCTGTATAACAGCGTCATGCGTGTCTCGATTCTGGCTCTACCATATCAAGATCAGTCATTTGTTTTTACGCTTCGAACTTTGTCATAGGCTGTTCGATTCTCCAATTAATTTACCATGTGATAGAGTCCAATTTTATTGTAATGTAGCGTTAAGAACTATGGGAACATCTGCTTGGACTTCTCTCGCGCTCTCATTTCATTTGGGGGGGCGTCCCAACCTTCCTATTCGGAATTCATCAAGCACTCGACACGTTTTGGATGTCGCCATCTTTGCACTAACGACTTTTTGTGTGTGTCTCTTCATCGCTTTATAGCGGTTGCATTTCGCAAATTTAAAGCGGCTGAGGGGAATTAATCTGCTCACAACAATGAGCTGCTTGCAGAGAAGTGAACCCTTGTCAGGTTCAGGTTGCTCCGGTTTGCCTCTAGACTGTGTGATATCTTGCGCACGACGACGTCATTGTTACGTCTCTTACAGAAAATAGCAAAATGAAATGACTCTTCTTTGTTATGTTCAACTTCGAAGAAATGCATAAAATGGACCGGCTTGATATAGTGGCGGATGCGCTTGCGCATCGTCATAGTAGGATATACTGTGTGGAACGATGTTGATGTTCTGCTTGATGCGGCGATATTTATAGTGTTTAAGTCAGCCACGCCATATGATTTGTTTAAGATTCAGGTGCCATATATCGAAGCAAGCGTTGCAACTTCTACACGCCATTCCTTATCCTAAGGCTTGCTGTATGACAGCACCGACACAATGAAACTCAAAGTGAAATGGTGTCTCACGGCGAGGACATCTATTTCAAAAAATCGCACGGGGTACATGAGATTCTAATGGCCTCTCAAAGAACATAAAACTACATGAGCGCTATGTACTGGTGGCTAACATGTAAATATTCCTGAGCATTTATGCGACCACGTTAGAAATGTATCAAGCGATTAAGCCCTAGCAACTGCGTGGGCACCTTTGGCCAGCCTACCGATTCCAGAAAAGTGTGAGTAGTACAGAAACATAGACTTTTTGGTCCTCCGAAAGAATATTCCGGTCATACCAGTTTTATGATCTTTAAAGACCGTTGAGCAGGATGACTCATCTTGCTGTTGTCCGTGATAATGTGACCGGTGAGTCTACCATCTTAGTGCTCCTCAATTTTTCATCGACATAGCTTGCGGGTTGCCGGTGGATTAAATTAAGATTTGATCTTGACAGCGAAGTTTGGCAAACGTTAGTCAAGGTTCCCGGCGCCGGATTGACATGTCAACCGCTGGTCAGCCCTCGATATATGGTCAGACAGAAGGTGCCAATCGTGTTGTGGAATATATCCATTGAAGCACTTACACTAAGAATCGCCGCGCAGCGAGAGTTGCTTCTACCCATTGAGTTTGTAGTAAATAAACCAGCACGTACCTCTACACGCTTTAGCCCATCATACAAAAAATAGTTTCGCGAGCCCCTAGAAACTTTAACCCCGCCACAAAGTGATTTCGACCAAGGTGAAACAGGTATTGCCAATCAATTTCGACTTGCTGACATCACCTCGGCAACACTTGTTAACAAAACTAGCGGGTTTATTTCAGTATAATTGAGCATCATGCGCATCGTAACAATAGCTTCAAGCCGGAATCTCAACGCTCTAAGTCATATAAATGTCTCAATGATTGGCCCTGGATCTGCGAGACCCATGCTACGACTAATAAATAGGTATCATAAACATCGTACAAATTTCTATAGACAGCTGAGTCAAACATGAATATACAGTAGGGTAGTGTATTAGTAGATGCAGTTGAGGTACCTGTTTATGCATCCATAACGACAAAGTTGCGATTGCACATTTTTGGGCTTGAAAAAGAATTGACCAACATCCATATAATTTTGAAGTGGACGCGCGTTGATATTTTTTAGAGAATTGGTGTGCTATACCAATTGAGAGATATGTCAAAAGCCAGCTACAGAAGATTCGTCCTCAGTCGGCGCAAATCAATAATCATGGGGTGGTCTAGGTTCTACGTGAAACGGATGGTAAACAAGCGGGTCCGTTTGGGCTGTTATCGGTAAGTAGAAGGGGTCTCTAACTCTAAAAAGTCTGGAATTTCGCTTCGGCAAGACAGCTCAGGCGCTGATGCCGCTTATGATCTGGAGCACCATTGACTTTAATCCACTTGAAGAAATAAACAATCGCCCAGCACAGCACGCTTCCCACAAGCTAATAGAGATGACTGTGTTGCAAGTGCTGTTCCTGATCGGTAGCTGCGATTTATGTAAAAGACGGCGTGGAGGGCTTTAAGCCACAAGAGCCACAAAAGTACGTATTCATCGTGCGTACACTTGACAAAATCAAGCATCTATCGACGCCATTATCATACGTCTGCTTCCTGGGCTGACTTGCAAAGCTGTAAGATGGAAGAGAAAGTGCGTCTTATCCACCCAGGGTGTGAGTTAACTGCAATACCCTTCAGCACTCTCGCCAGCATTAAGCATCAAAGGTACGTCCTCGTGGAGGTATAGCTTATTCAACTGCTGCGACTCTAAGCAAAAGCTGTTCCCTTCGGAAGTCGCGATGGGGGTATCGTCATGTCTATCTATACATCTATGACTCTAGAGTGTAATAAGTCGAAAACTCTTATTGCAGCTTTAAAATTCACAGAAATACAAAAACAAGGTTCAAAAATCTCGTGCAGTATACATAAATGTATATTTGCCACTTAATGCTCAAATAGGCAGATGCTTCCCACTTCACTTTGAAATTTGAAATTGAGTTCTTCGCGGCAAACACTGTGATTATGCGGCTGTCAATGGTCGCTTCTATCGTGACTCTGTCCATCGTCGTGCAAATGTATGATGCGCTACTTTCCTTTATTAACTCTGTTAAGTCTCGGGTTACACCGCCAATACCCGACGTTGAAGACTTGGCTAATGTACCTGCAGGACCGTCCAGTGGCCGGGAAGCCCGACACAGCTATCTAAGTAGAACTACCGCTGAATCAAAAGGTATAGTATCTCGACAGATCATTTTATCGAGCCATAACATCTTACTTTGGTTGTTGTGGGCAATGTTTTTGTCAGTTACGGAAGATACAACGAGTGGGAAGGAGAAGCTGCCTCACCAAGAAGTTGAACATCGTAGAGTTGAACCTGCAAAATATTCGCATTCCATAGCACTAAAACATACAGGTGATCGACCCCGGTCGAATAGGTTGGATCTTTCCGCAACAGATGCTGAAGCTGTGAAATCTTTGCAAGAGCCTTATCACCGTTATTACAAGCCTTACTTTCAAGGATATCTGAATGCCAAAGTAGTTAATTTTATCATAGCTATGAGGAAGAAATTTTCTTCATATGGTGACCTTCATTCTATTGAATCCTTCCGGCCTTATGTGGTATAAAGCGAATAGACTAAGCTTGATTGTATTGCTGGCACATAAATGTAAATGTAATTTATAGCATTGTTCTTCAAAATTTTGCTCCGAGTTAAGCCTCATCTTTCCTTCTTTCTTTTTCGTATTATTAGCCGCAAAAAGATTAAAACTTCTCAATTCTAATCCTTACAAAAAATCTCATGCATCAAATAAAGATTCTGGGTGAGATACCATCATAAATCTCAGTACATACCGTTCTGGCGGTGGTGGTGAGGAACGATGCAGCAACAGCAGAGTCAAAGTGTGATTACACAATGTGTCCAATCATATTTTCTGAGATTATCTATCATTCATTCTATAATATATGTTATAGAATGCACAATGTTTTATTCACTGTGCAGCACATAAGACTTAAGGTTAAAGTTAGAGCAAAATTCTAGCGATTTTACAAATGTAAGTTTATTTCTTAGAGATTGTTATGGAGATATATTTGAAAAAGCAAAAGATGTAAATATCTTAAGAGTGTGCAGAAAAATGACAGCACCCATTTTTGTGTCCAGATAAACGCGATGTACGGATATGTAAAGGTGCGGTGTGTCTGTCGTTGGTTAATTGGCAAATTTGGGGTTATAGAGTGGCAGAATATAAAATCACTGGGGCCAAAATAAATCTTGTGTTATGATACTTTAATTATGCAGTAAGAAATCAAGAAATTCTGTACCGTACGTACCTGATTTGTCAATGGCAGATCAGATCACCATCTACGTAACGTATACCTGTCGACATGATTTCGCATCTATGTGTTCCCAAGAGGGTAATGTTTCATAATCACGTACTTTCTCCACTTTGTGTCTAGGCATTTTATTTTAGACTATTCTATTTATTACGACTTAGTAAACTCATTTATTAAGTCACACATGCTGATACATGTGCTTATAATCTACTATGTCATCAATATAAAAGCTTTTGTAAGCAGCGCTCCCTGTCATGTGACAGTAACGAGTTAAACACTCACTTCATACTACAACGTTTTTTTATGGGTGTATACTGTATAGTACCTGTCAAGAGCTTAGGGTTTCGAGCTATTAGATTGCGCAAAATTATTTTGGAAGACAGTACAAAATTCACGTCAATCTTTGTGTAATTGCGAGTCATCAAAGTAATGATGCAATCCGTTTAAAAGCTTTTCATGGAGCATAAAATATTGGGCGCAAGTAAGAAAATAAAGACAAATTTGTTATGAGAAGTGGTAAAACGGAAATATTCCATATTGAAAGATTCGTGAAAACATGTAGTGTGCGAATTGTTCGCAAATGGCGTACACGCAAATCCAGGTTATGCTTACACAGTTCTCAAATCTGTTCGACGAATTGCATCCGTCGTGAATAAAAAATTTGTATACACTGAAGCCACAATTACATAAAATTTGTCTGCAATATGGCATAAGTTGCACTATCGTTTAAAAAGGGATCTCTGTGATCAAAACATACAAAATGCACTTGTTTATTACCGCACAAAATATGCTTTCAGGAACATCTAGATAGAACTAATGTCCCAATAAAACGAAAAGTACTTTGTTGCTATAAGTGCATTCGATTCCGCTCTTGGATGAAGCATACGAACCTCACCTCTGTGCGTTTGATTAAGCGGGTTTATTTTGCGACCGTGTTGCTGTAAACTTTCCACAAAGATAACTTAGACTTGGCGAGATAAGCAGTCTTGCTCAAATGATCCGCATTGCAGCGGGGCTGCCGTAGCTCTTTGCTCAACGAAAGCTACGCTAAGGTCACCGACCTTACGTTTGCAGTGGGGCTGCCGAAGCTAAGCGCTTGAGGAAACGTACTTTAGAACACCGAACTTTTGAAACGGGGTTACACGAACCCTACAAACGGGGGGGTGCGTGTCACACGAGATGTGCATAGTGTGACCACACCCAAACAAGAAGATGTATTCAGATTTTACTGTATATCTTTAGTATATTTAGGAAAATCTAAACTTTTAACATTAGAAGAGATTATAAATAAAAAACAGTTTCGATTTTGAACAGAAGTTTTCGTTTGCCTTGGTAAGGCTCTAAGTACTTTTAGAGGCAGCGGATTGCGATCCGCTGCACTAATACTTGGTTCTTATATAGAACGAAGGTCGGTGACCTAAAGACACTTCCTCAAGCGCAAAGCGACGACAGCCCCGCTGCACTTGTAGCACTTGTAGTCAATCTACACCTGAGTCGTTTCGACTGATCCTCTGTGAGGATGGAGGAATTTTTCTCTTTGCCCCAGGGCATGCAGGACGGACTTCATAAGCTGATGTCCTTGATTGGCCTTGAGGCCGTGCGACACCTTGTGGCACAAGGTCCCGCGGCAATCGGTGCGCGTCTAGAGGCGATTTCGAGTTGCGAAAACGCGCTGCTAGAGCATTTGCAGCAGAAGATGAATGCATCGTTTGCCTCTATGACGCCACCGTCGGTGACGGATGACTTCCCTCGACATAAGCCACTCATGGTGGGCGTTAAGGTTTTTGAGGGGAAGGATGGTGCGAATATCCTACTCTGGATGATAGAGGTCAAGATGGCCATCGCATCCGCCATGCTCGAGACCGAGCAACAGCGCGTGGCGCTAGACATCTCAAAGCTCGGTGGTCGAGCGCGAAAATGGGCACCGGCTTGCGGCACTTCGGTCGGATCTGCGTTTCCCTCCTGAGCGGAGCTGAAATTGCAGCTCTAACGAGTGTTCTCGCCGCCAAACCAGGCGTATCGCGTGTGATCGCGTTGTCTTGCCGACCGACAGGGCAACAAGAGATTGGTGGAATTTGTCCAAGAGATGCGAACTCTCATTGCCGGGATGGCAGCAGATCACCTCCCGGAGGCGGTCACAGTGACGTCTTTATGGAAGGCCTCCGCACTGAAGAGGCGGTGAATGTGGCACTGAATGCCGAATTCAATTTCAATTCGGCACGCACACTCCAAAAGCTCATCAAGCGGACCTATGCTCATGAATCTCAGCTATGCTGAGGACGAGGGAGCAGAGCTCCGAGCTGCCGTTCAGCACGCAAACACACGACGGTGTTTTGTCTGTAGAGACACTTGTCACCTTCGGAACGGTTGCCCCCTGCGCAAGGCGCATCAAGTTTCTTCGAGCCATCGCCCCAGCGTCTACCAGTCTGGTTCGTCGCGGTGAGACGACACCACTCAGTGGGCGCGAGGCGACCTACTGGGGAAGAGCTGAGTTCTGTTAAGCCTGAGGGAGGCATAGGTCAACAGGGCCCAGCCCCGAAGAGGTGCGTGCTCTTAAACACGGAACGTGTGTTCAC